CAACGGTTACACTAACCTAATTATCTCCAAGCGCATAGAAACACCACATTTTATACCCACATGAAAATAACATAAAAATGTATAACTTTTAGGTTTTAATATTAACATAGCCCATTCAACCAGTCTCTGGATAGCTCAGATCTGAGCACACAGGATATTCAAATTGCGCTCAGATCTCACGAACGGTATATAAAAGTCACAAAATAAAAAATCTGTTTGTAGGTTTTGGCACGAACGGATGGGACAACCGACACCTTGGCGGAATTCATGAAAACCTTTGGCCGATTCTAGTTCCAGGAGCTTGAGGCTTAGGTCCTGCTGGGCATTCGACAACAAAAGATGGCCACCGCCTTGTGTTCGGCATACGAATGGCGCCCACCTTGAAAGACGTACTTAACTTGCGGTTAACCGCAGAAATCACATATTAATTGAGGCCACACGCCAGGTGGTAGGTGGTCGTCATTCGGCAGTCCATTTGTCATTTTGGGGTACGTGCTCCATTCGACTAATTGTATCCGAACAGGGCCACCCTGAGGCTAGTTAATTTGGTTGCGGTTAACCGCAAACCGCAGCTCCCCGGAGGTTTATAATAGGCACACTCCGCTTGTAAGGTGGTCGATCGTTCGTCAGGTCTTTCGGTGATTTCAAAGGTGACTGGGGTTAAGTGGCGGCACACGCCAAGGGCTGGGTGGTCGGCTGTTCGTACGTACGAATGAGTAACCAGGATCATTCGTATAACAGGGTATAAAAGTATCCAGGTAGAAATAACAAGTAAAGGTATCCATTGCATTGTCAAATAGCAACAAGGGTAAAGGAAATGATAGTCTTGCAGCATACAGAGGGGCTTTCGTAACACTAAGGAACACATTTCAAATCATTGGATGTACAACCTTATTCACTATGCCTTATTTATAAAAGGAGAATAATATCTAAAATCTTAAACAACTTATAAGGGCAAAAACCCTCTCCTAAAATGTGTTACTCGGGCCATCCACTACATCTCTATACTAGAACTATATTATAAAATTATTTATAGGTGGTACCTAGTTCCAACAAGACTTAATAAAATATCAAGAAATAATTCTGAAATCTGTTGGAGAGGTCACCTAGAAAAAGGAAACTTCCATTTGGTGGAATTGTAACAAAAGTAGACAATATTAAACATCAGATCAAATTTTGTCTACAAAATTTCTTAACACCAACAAATTTAATTCTAATATGTTCATTTGGAACATAGACTTTCCAGACTGCAATAAATAACAGAATATTTAATAACACACATTCTGTTTGCTACTAAGATAACTAAAGCATGCAACTGGAAATCAACCAAGATAAATTGGCCAAATATTTGTGAACAAATTTCATACCAATATCGTATGAAACATAGCTTCTTTATAAATGCAGATGCAGAGGAGAAATTTGAAAGATATTGGCATCCTTGGATAGATTATAGAAATAATTTGTATTTGAATATTTACCTCCCAAAACCTGCCTCAGACTAATAATTTAAGATAAAGGATATGTATTGATTCTTCTCTCTCCCAAGTACCCATAGTGTGACTGAAGTATGAATGAAATTGTTTGTATTTATCATCTGTATTGTATTAAAGCACTAATGTTACATCCACAATTTATTGATAATCATGAATTTTTGTAATACAATCCTATTATTCATTGTAAAAATTATATCACTTGCAAATAATATGGAAAAGAAAAAAGTGAAAAAATAGGTATACTGTGTTTTTAGATATATTACACTCACAAGTGTGGAGCTTATTTATTGGCTCACATTAACCACACACCCCCTTGATAATACGCAAGAACATTGGATCACCACTGATGTACAAAAAAGTATATACTTTTGTTTTTCCCTCACTTATTCTGTAATATGATTAAATGCCATAGACCTATTTTTTTTGTTATTGTTTGGTTTTGGTTCATGGT